TTGTCGATTTGATTTCACGGAATAAAAAGCTGGTTTTGCAGAAGATGACTCGGATGTGGCTAAGTTAAGTTCAGTGGGTAAAGGTGCTTGATTGTTTGATTAAGTTGCTTCTTGACGAGGCATAAGGCACTCAATTACATTGGAATTAATGTATGTATGTTGAACTTCTTTCGCACCATACACAGCCAACCGTGCAAATCGGAGGTGATTTCTTATTAAGGAATGAAACTAAATGCTTTTGCCAGCCATCAGAATATTCTACTCACCAATGACAGTGAATTCGACTGCTTACTCTTCATTGCGATGAACCGATTGCAACTACTGGGATCTCAGCAACCAGGTGGCTCAGCGGTAGAGCAGGTGGCTCACAAAGCACAAGGTTACGAAAAAAAAATTAACACGTAAAAACAAAGTTTTTCACTATAAATCCTTTATATGCGTGGCGGCTAGAGTCCTCTCGTCCTCTGGCTTGAGATTGCTGCCACCTATGGGTCAGATGATTGTCTGCCACCATTAAGCAATTGGTAATTAAATGTAATTTATTTTTTCCTAAAAAGTGTAAAATTTTGGATTTTTTTCACGAAAATAAATTGTCACGCTCAACGAGTCTGTGTGCAAAATGTCAGCTCGATTGGATCACGGGAAGTGGGTTAAAAAACGACCGAAAGATTTGCACGGTCGTAAGCGCGCAAGCAAGCAAGCAAGTGAACTTAATATAAAGGATTTAAAAATCCAGGTTGGGGGGTTGACTCAGCCCATCCGTTCAGGGTTGATGAAATGTTTACCACTTTGTGGAGCCAGTCAACAGTGGTTGTCCTATGGATAGACTCACCCCCGCCATAGGAATATGGAAATTCCACCACTGGCACAGGGCACTGCACCAGTGCTCATTTGAGTAGAAATTCACTTCACTTTTAAATTGAAATCACTTTGACTTTGATTGTCAACCTCTGCCACTGCGTGCATGGCAAATTTTCGCAAATGGTGGTTTGTGAAATCCATTGCACTTTGCATTGCAATGAGGAGCTGTATCATGTGAGACTTTATTTTTTGGTGGCATGAAGGAGAGAAAATCCAAGCAGTCACCGAGGTCAATCAGTCACTTAACTCTTAATTTTTTCCGACGGCAGCAATTTAAGTACGAAATATGTTTTGTGTGAAGGCTTCGCTGGATGGATTTAACAAGTGACAGCAATGGAAAAAAACGAACCTGTCACTTGACTCAAGTTCAAGTCGGCCTTGCTTAAATTGCAATGCCACAAAACCGTACCATGAAGTCATTACATTAAGGATCAAGAACACTGAGTGCGGTAAATTTGGGCATTTGTCCACAGTTATGAAATGTGTCCAAAATACACTCAACAGAGGAACAGTGAAATAAAACAACCGTTGTTATAAAATATATTTACTTTTTACTTTAACCTTCTCACATACATCTCACGTGCCTTCTTGGTAAAGGAAAAAAAGTGCTCGGTCATGGGCAATTAGCATCTGTCCAATTTTTAAGGAACAAGTGAACTGTTTTTATACCAACTAACTGTCGTTAATGAAGCATCACCAAGGCTCATGTGCATGTTAATAGGAGTTTAAAATAAGAGTTTTTAACATTCAAGATCCCCCGAGCGTTTTAGTGTGAGGCCAGCTGAGGCCAACTGCTAGTGAGTCTGGCTATTTGGTTTCAGCAAGGTAAATAAAATGTTTTTTTCAACGTTAATGTTTATTTTTTTAATTTCAGTTCTAAGTCTTGCTCGCCACACATTAATTGGAATCTTTTGTTCGCCAGGCATATCCTCTATTTAGGCAGGTGGTGAGCCCAACGGAGACCTGGGGTTTTATTATATGGAGAAAATACAAAGCAACATGGTTCATGGGTAGTATAAATCAGAGTAAAAAAAATAATATAAAGATGACATGGGTTTTTTGTGCGTGCGTGTGTAGCGAGTGGAGGAGAATGATGGAAACAATTCCTGAATTGAGGTTAAAGAGCCCCAAGGAAAGATTAATGCAACAGAAATTGTTTTCTTGACCGCAAGTACGACTAACGGGGGGATGTTGTAGGGCCCATTATAGTTGTGAAGTGATTTAATGGCGTTGCTGATTGGGAATTATTCTCGTTTATCATATCCGGCCCTGCTTGAGGATGTGGCTGTAAAATGTAAAGGGAAGGCTACAGAGGGAATATACAAGGAGGAATACTTTCACAACAGACTGGGGATTATTTGAGTCTCCTTTCCTATGTATGTCACACAGGAGGTTTTAATAATCTTACCGGCAAAAGAGCAGAATAGTGGGTCCCTCGCAATGTGTTTTGATGGCATTCATTTAAAATGGCAGTGTATGTGTGAGAGCGGTTATGGGAAATGGTTACGTCTTAATCTGTGTACGACTCTGAAAGACTTTAGCCGGGCGTGGAATCGCTTGCCTGTGGTGAAACGATTTGGACGTAGGGTTGGTGGAAGACGCAAACGATGGAACGTTCATGTATCCGAGACGCTCGCCTGCAGGAGGGCATTGAGGTGCCTGTAGGATGCAGTAGGTTTCCAAGGGGCATGGGTTTTTAATTTTCTTTTTGACACTCCCGTTTTCTTCCACAGAAATAAATCTAATTTAAAAGGAGACATTTGGTTCTTTCGGTAAAGTCACGTAGATAGAAAAAATAATGATGATAAATGTAAATAAAATCTAAATTACGACGTTTTGATCACAACAAAAACTACGGCGTTTCGATCGTTGTGATCAAAACGTCGTAGTTTTTATTTTATTTACTTTTATTATTATTTTTTCTATCTACGTGACTTTACCGAAAGAACCAAAGAATATGAATTCCTGCAGTCACGAAAGTTTTAAGTCAGAATTTAAAAGGAGACCATCAGATACTGTGTCCTGGACAGGATCCTTCTCAGTGTTGAGTCTCGGGATGACTTTTTTGCGAGAAAAAATATACTCAAATAAATCCCTGCACGATTCGGTGGGTCCTCATGGGAATTGTGGCTTCAATACTCCTCAGTGAGCTTCGTACCCAGCACCGAGCCCTGGGAATATTGAAAGACATCTTACCTTGGCTGTCTGAGCTCCATGCATTTACATTGAAACCTAATAATTCTTGCAGTCACGAAAGCTTCAAATCTAGAGCTTTAGTCTGTCTAGGCCTCAGGCATTGAAATGAACCATAAGAATCCTAAAAATACTTCAGTTTGGCTTTGAGCCTTTAGGCATCGGCATTCGTGCGTTTTGACGTCGTAAAGTACTGCGTGCCCTTGTCTTTCTGCTGACATGTAACTTACTCGCGTTTGATTGTGATTCGGCGTTAATCTGCATTATCCATAGGCAGAGTAAATAATTTAGTTTATTTCGTATTAGCGCCATCCGTATAGCACGAGGCATATGGCTATGTTTTCGTAAACAGTCTGTAGTAGTTTATTAGTAAGGAGTGATTGTGCTCTGCGTTACGATGCGTAATTCCAATTGAGTAATTTGCAGGTAATTAAAATCTTTAGCAATTTTAGACCATGACCCTGGCACACGATGGCTCCTTTTTTTTTCACGAGTCCTGACCGAATCCGTACCGTCCACTGCGCGGCGGACGACGCTTATCGGCATGGTTGATTCACCAGCAGTAGCAGCAACCAAAGGTGACCTCTCCGGGGTTTCTAACTGCGAATCCCTGCAACAGGTGGCATATGCTCCAGAGGTCGCAAACGGGTTTTGATTCCTTACCCGTACCCGGCCGCACCAGGGTCGCAAATGGGTACTCGTTCCCTACCTGTACCCGTACCCTACCCGAAATGAGTGACAAACGGTTACTCACCAGTGACTCACGGCCTACCCGTACCCGGCCGCACCAGGGTCGCAAACGGCTATCCGTACCCGTACCCGGCCGGGTACAGGTAGCTGGGAATCGGCTAGGGTACGGGTATCGGGTACCCGGTTGCGACCTCTGATATGCGCTCCCCGCCGCTGGGCACATGCCACGAGACGATTTGAGAGTAAAGCGGAAACAAATGAATCCCGGTTTTTCAAGGAGGTCCCCTGCCACGTGTGGACCTCGGTCACATCGGTGTTGTCACGCCAAAACGTTCCTCGTGAACGGGTGTGAAGCCATGGTCAGCACATCATCTGCTCTCTCGTTCTCATAACCTTTTGCTGACTCTCATCTCACCCTTTGCACCCCCCCCCCCCTCCCCCCAGACTTGTGCATGAGTGACGCCTTTCACTGAACTGTGTAGATAACACTTCCTGTATATCTCGGCTGGTTTGATATTTACCATCGCAAGAAATGTCATGGCGTAGAGGGCTCTCCCGTGGTGCACTATGAACTGAAATACAGCTGTGCTCAGCTGTGCTGTCACCCCGCACACAGAGATGTTTGATGTTGCCATTAGCAGTCAATAAACTTTCCATCGTCGGTCATTCTTAGACAGTTTTTCAAAATATTGTGCTGGTCGAATAATCTATTTACTGCAAAAAAGTGCATTACAACTACATTTATTTGGTGGACAACGTTTCCAAATGGGACCCTTTGAATGCATTCTAATGGTATACATCTTGAATGGAGGCATGCACTGTTTCAGAAAATGTTTTGTTTGTGTTATTGCTCATGGTTGCCTGCTGTTGGAAATTATGGCACATTTTGCAATGTTTTGCTGCTGGCCATCATGAACAGCACTTGTGGTAGTGTTGCCACTACCACTTCACAGGCTTCCAACCTTTTGTTGATCTACTACCACCATTCAAAGCAATAAGTGCGGGTTAACGTTGAACCACCAAGCAGATTATAAACAAACACGTACACACGCGCGCGGACATGCGCGCGTGTGTCCTCGCCTCGTTTCCGCGTCCATGCAGTGGTGTTGCCACGACCACTTCACAAGCTTCCACCCTTTTGTCGATCTCTTACCATCGTCCAAAGCAATAAGTGCGGGTTAACCCTGAACCACCACGCAAATTACAATCAAACTCTCACGCGCGCGTGTCCTCGCGTTGTCTCCGTGTCCATGCAGTGGTCTCCTTCTCGGCGCGTGAGGTCCTCCTGGAGCTGCTGTCCGCCCAGCAGTGCGATGACGGCGACGCGGATGCGGGCGGCGGCGATGGCGCGACCTTGGGCCCCCCGTGGCTGCGGCCGGGGCCGGGCGAGGAGGGCGAGGGCCCCGGGGAACCCGCGGTGATGCGGGCCCGCCTGGCGGACACGCAAGAGATCGGACGAATCTTCACGGCGAGATGCGGCGAGCTGGAGGGTGAGACGAGGCGCCGAGCAACGCGGCTCGCTCTGGGTGGGAGGGCGGGGGGGGGATAGTCGCCCGGTGCTTGGCCCCGCTCGGGGACCGAGCACCGGCTCTTGTTCGTCGTCGGTGCGACGCCGTCTTAGATAGATAGATAGATCGTTTATTGTCATTGTCACCAGTGACCATGTCTCTCTCTCGTCGAGCGGTCGGCGTCCTTATCGGCACCCTCGCTGCCATCGTCGTTGCCACTCGTCGTCGTTATGAACGTAAATCGGCACGAGCAGAGGAATTGCTTTCGTCATCGACATCCATTGTGATGACCAGCACAATCATCGTTATCATCATTCTCACTTTTGTCGTTATCAGTCACTGGAGCTATGCACTTTTAAATAATTTAGATTGAAAACTCATTTCTTTAGAACTGCTTTATGTGTTTAGTTTGTTTTTTCCTTCCCCCACACCTCCAATTAGCACTGTTGGCTATGTACAGTGCGAAACAAGTTCCTACATACACACATCAGCATTTTCATGATTGTCTCCACCACATCGTTTAAGGAGTCGGCTTCTTCAGCAATGTCGCTCGATAGCTTTACCTTTACCACTGGAAAAGGCCACATGCAGCCTACACCAATTTAATCTGAAAGTTTTTTAATTAAGTTATTGGGCCGATAATCTAGTTTTTAATCACAAGTGCCTGCATAGATTCAACCCCAGGGTGTTGGCAGCTCTGGCCCAGTGGCTCTGACGCAGACATTACAAACCTGCCGAGGCTCCCGGCCTCCGCCTCTCCTCCCCGGCCTGGCGCAGCTCGCTCCCGGCTAGTTTTATGGTAATGTTTGCGCGTAAATATTGCTCAAATGCGTCCGTTTTACGTGTTTTTTTTTAAAATAGTGTTAATTAGAGCAGTAAAGCGCTATTAGGATTACATGTCCACGTTCGGTGCTTGCGTTTGGAAAGTGCTTGTGCAAATTAAGTGCCGGGTTTAGTGCCCAATTTGTGCATGTGACCAATTTGTGCATGTGACCAATTAGTGCCAAGTCACTAATTGGAGGCACAATTTTTCACGGGCTGTCTTAAATAGTTAAGTGGTTTCATTCGGAATTTCAAATTCAGTGACCAAAATATATTTGATCACCGATCAAAGTTTCATACGAAAGATGACATTGGTGGGGTAAATTTTTTGTCTCACCAAAACCTCACATTCACACTGTTCAACGCACCAACTAATGGCTCATGATGTGCACGAGCAGAGGGCTGTAGTGACTCATAACATCTTTTTTAGAAAGGGACTGTAAACCTGATAATAGGTTTTTCCACTTTTTTCTGGCAACAAAACAGGTGTTAAGATGTTCAAACACCAAACTGAAACCTTTTGCAAGGAATCGTGTCTGCATTAACCACAATGCTTGTGGTCAGAATGCAAACAAAAAACACTGATAATATATGCATTGTCCTTAAAACTAATTGGTCCACACCAGATACAGCTTTCTTTGGAGCCTAGTCTCAAACGGTGTTAGACCAGAGGACATGCCAGCGTTGTGCTTTTGTCGAAGCCCCATTCTAATTGCCGCTCGGATATTAATAGAACAAGTGCGCGCTGACGTTTCGTGTTCTATTAAAGTTTAAAGTAATCATGTAATTTTCATGCTTTACATTTTGAGCCAGGTTGATGTGGGTGAGGAACCAGATACCAGGCGCTCCTGACATTGGCGCCCTAGTCGTCGCAGTTGTGTTTAATTAGGCGCTGACCAAACTCTACGCCGATTACTGTTACACAGCATTCACAGTCAACGTACAATGCAGCCGTCATGCGCAGGTACCTTTTACTATCACTGCAGTGCCTGTACCAGGCTAGGTGCAGAGCACGGCCTGGTGGATTTGAAAATGATGTGTCTGACCATAGGTCACAAGAGAGACCCAAGTTAATTTGGATACATATGGGGTTGGCCAAAATTAAGCCAAATTTAACCCCCCCCCCCCAAACACGCAGCAATAGTCAGCAGCTGTAATTTAGCACAACACTTGTGGAAGACTAGGTGTACTGTAGGGACATGTGGGTGGTGCAGACATATTTGATGGTGTGCCATAAGAAATATGCAGGCGTTATGGGTCAAAAGACTTCAGTGATTGGCAAATACACCACCTGCGTGCTATGTCGCACCAATAAACACGTACACATCTCTTGTATCATCTGCATGGGCTGCGGGGGGCATGTGCTGTTCGCAAGAACCAATTCAGCCATTGAATGGCACACGAGGGCCTGGTGTGACCGTTACCACACCCAGCCACCTTTGTCTCACCAGTGCTGATTTTTACACACTGCGTAAGGTACTAGTTTACGTCTGAGTCTACCTAGGAGAAGCCCAATACGAATATCAGTCACCACTGATGTTAGCCGTGGTCTGGGATATAACTCGAGTCATCGGGCCGTAGCGCAGTGAGCGAACTACGATGCCACCCCTCCCCACGTTGTGCCAAAACACACACGAATTACTCTATTAAAAGTGGCTCTATTAAAAGTGATTTCAAGGGGATTTTCATTCTGTAGACAAACCCGAAGGAAAGGAGTAACCTTATCCAACACTTGAGGGATTTTGACTAACACCTGTTCAAGATATAATTTCCCACAAGTTAATCACCTTTGGTGGGACTGCAAGCAAGCACAGTAACAATGCATTCCGAGCATTCTCGCTGGGTGCAAAGCTGCAGAAGCCAAATTTCTGGATCTTCTAAAAATACACGTCCAATTTTTTTTGTCCGCTTGTTGAGTTTAGCTTCAGAAACACACGTTTTGTTTGTTATAGAATTAATGTAAACAAATTACATGTGATTCTTTGTTTTTGTAGTTACTTTAGGTTGGATGTAGCCTTGACCTGGATTGCTTACCCAACATGCTGCACTTGCAATCCAGAGGTCACCGATTTGATGTGTTCCTTAAAAAACCCCCTCCCGCCTCTGTCCAGCCAGCAGTATAAATGGATACACAAAAGTTAGTTGATCGGCAAGTCGCTTGCAGTGGGGATAAGGTGTGGGTCCTCCCAGCTCTTCTCAAACATCTGGCCGGCATGTAAGAAGTAGGCCAAGCAACCACTATGGGGTGGGAGAGGGGGGGGGGAGCTTTCTGCAGCTAGCAGTGGCCTTGAGCAAGAACATTTCAAGAGCTGCCCCTCGACTACTTTTCACCGAGTGTACGATATTTATTTATCTAATTGTGGCATTTTACTCGGCAGGAATTCAAGTTAATATTTGTCACAGATGTGCGAACGCTCAAAGTCGATAGCGTCATTGGCCGTGTCGGCGTACCCAGGCGTTGGGAACACAATCTCGGGGTAAAGTGGCATTGGGGTGCTTTGGTTTCAATCTCTCTCCGGTAACCTCAATTAAACGAATAACTCCAAAGGAAACACATTGCACAGAGGCTCATTCACAGCCCAGGGGCTGGACAATTTGTGAGGTGGAGGTGGTTTGTGAGGATGCTTTGTGGGGTATTTTGTGGTGGTGACGTTTCCACCTGAGTGGTGGCAGAAATACTATAAATCACCGTGTTGGCCGGAAAACATTTTTTTTTTTTACAAATAAAAATTAAGTGTGTGGCCTTCATATTTGGCTGTTAGTTACTTGTTGCTGAACACGAACCGCTTCCAACTTTGGCATTCGTTGGAATTCTTAAATGCCATTGCAAATAGAAAGAAAGCAAAATAAAATTACTAATTTTTGGGGGTTATCCAAAGCAAACAAAACTAGCACTGCCGTTAGTGGATTCAAGTATGCTTTCAATCTTCCCAAGGAAAATATATGGAGTGGCATACCATACATTTATATGTTCAGGATTTCAATTATACCATAAACTTTTGAAAATATAACGTTTCTAATAATAATTTAGATTTCATTTTCTCAAATATGCAGTGCCCTTTACACCAGGGCATTTCAAGGCGAAATTTAACCTCAGTGGTATATATATATTTTATAAATGACCTATATATTGTGATATGAGGTGTTGCATGCTATATTAAATAATGAAGTTTCTTAAAATCCCCCGCCTCCTGTCTACCCAGGAGTTATGGTCGCGTGTGGTGGAGTAAACGGTTGGCAGTCCCACCTCTTCCAAGACGTCTTGCCAGCGTGTAAGAGGACGCCGAATACCCTCCAGAAGGTCTTTACAATTATTAATTTTTAGTGGAGTCCGTTCTGTCTCTAAAGAAGGCTGTCTCTGGTGTAGACCAATCCGTTTCAAAGACAATGCAAATGTATTACCGGAGCATGTTTTTTTGTTTGCACGTTCACCACAATTACGTGTGGTTAATGCAGACATGATTCCTTGCAAAAGGTTTCTGTTCGGTGTTTGAACATCTTAACGCGTCCTGTATTATTGCCAGAAAAGGTTAAAACCTCGTCTATACTTTGAGACTGGCAAGAAAGGTCACATGTTGGAGGTTGTTCTGTTAGCAGTGACGTGAGAAAAAAATTGAAGGGCTGCACCTTAGCCTTTTTCTTTTCAAGCAAGATTAAAAGTAGAAGTCGAGTGATCATTGCAGACGATCAATGACCTCACCGGCTTTTAAGAAATGTATGCTTTCAGGGGCTGTTTAGAATGATTTATGTGTTCACTTAATTTACTTGCGATCATTAAAGGAGCTCTTGAGTAATTTACTTAAAATAGTAGCAGCAAACGTGTTTAAAGAGATTTTGTGGATATTCCAGCTGATACCTGATTATTTATTGGGTTGGCCTTTAATTATAACACCAGCACAATTTCGTAGGGTTATTTTAATCTCCAGCTTTGCCAAAATATGAAGAAAATAAACCGCAAAATTAGAGTCTAAGGAAACAGCTAAATAATACAGCTTTATGAGAAATCAACATCTGGCCTTTGCACATTCGTGCCAAATCGGGTTACTCGAGTTTCGAATGGGTCTCAAGTTCTCTTTGTGTTTTTTGTTTTTTTAAAGGTACAGCGAAATGTAAATCGTGTAAAGAAAAAAACCTCTGAAATGTTCCCGTATTTATTACTTTACACTTGCTTTCTGTGCTGTCAAACATTTCGTTGGGCGGAAGGCCTTTTAACAGCCAGCCCCACGTCTGTATACTTTTTGCTCGTTTCGCTATGTGCACTCCCAACCCATGAGTGGATGAGTGATTGTCCACAAACACTGATGTTTTTTGGCTCCTGGACGCCCGAAACCTTCTCTTTTAGTGGGGGGGGGGGGAGGACAGGGAAAAATAAGCAATGCCCTGTGCCAGATCACTTTGATAAAAGATTTAGGAGGAGATTGAGGGAGCCGGGGAAGCAGAATAAATGCTCGGGCAGCATACTTAGCTTTTTCAAAGGACGGCGGGGAAGACTTGGATCCGATATGCTCTTCAAATGAGTCACCTTGAACACATTGCACCGGACGCTACAGTGTTTCCACATGTGCGTGTTACACATTCTGTATTAATGTCAGTTTACAACTTCATTTTTCCAGGGGTTTTTTTTAGGCTAATAGCTGCAATGTGGGGTCAACCGTATACCAAAGGTGCATATTGATATGACCGAATGAAGCCAGCCAATGCCGGGACAAGGTTTGCATGCTTAGTACCAATGAGGTTCCTGGTCAGGAATCTATCCCAGGCCACTGGAATGTGGTTCAATGCACTAACCACAATACAAATGCTTTCCACAAAGATGACATGGTGCTGTGGTCAGCATTGGTGCTGTGGAGGCAAATGCGGTTGGGCATGCATATTCCTGTGCTAACCTTAATAGGTGCTTGCTTAAACCACCTGCTTTGACAGTCTGGTCATGAATGGAGGATCTTTTCCATTATGATTATCTAGAAGTCTGCATTTATATGTGCATCATGACATTCTGCAAGAATGTGCACTTGCTTGTCCACAGCGGATATACATGTGTATTTTAGCTCATAATGACTGAGTAATTGATGTAAACTCTAATCATCTTCCAGAAGGGGATAGAGGACTGAAATAGTTGTGTACATATGTGTAGTGAGTCACTTCGGAGACACTAATAGTAGGAGGCACACACGTTTATTCTACACTTCCACAGTACAGGGGAGAACTACACACGGGTCAGGACAGCCGGCACACGGCCTGACCCACAACGCCGAGGAGGTGAAGACGGCGACGAAGACTTGCGTAGACGACTGGTTCCATTCCAAACGACAGCCCCGACCCAGCGTCGGGGCCTCCCTTTTATCCTCCCCAGCGTGGCCTGGCTCCGCCCTCGGCCACGCCCCCTTCTGGAACCTACCAGAAGGTTCTGGGCCTTCGCCCCACGTGTCCCCTCTGTCACCTTTACCCTACATCCCTTACCCCGGCTTATCACGTGCCCTGCTGGTAGACCGGGCTACTACACCCACAATCCCGCTGTTTACCAGTAACCAGCGCTACGCACCCGAGAGACCCATTCTATGTCACTGCATATTTATAAATAAATAAATATGGGTGTAGTAGTGATATAGTGGTTAATGCGCTGCGTTGTGAACCCCAGTAACCTGTGTTTTGTTTTCCGGCCGTGGCTAGCACCGGTGGAGTGCGATGTCTCAACCACGACCGTCCACCCCCACTGACCAGCGTGGCAAAACTTGATCAAACATCCCTCGTGACTGACATGACACCAGGGGGCCTTCATGCAGCAGTGGATTGGCAGAGGGATGTAAACAACTGTAGTTATGATTATTTCTGCTTATTACAAAAAAAAACATGTATACGTATCCAAAACCTTAATTTACAATTATTTTGTCCTCCCCATGCTTTTGGACAAAAGGATTGAGATTTTTCTTCAAACTCTTTTGTATCGTGACAATAAAAAAGGTGTTCAATTGAAATTACATCACATTAAATGGAAAAAAAACTGGCAATTTGGGACCCGCATAAATAGGGGACATGTATTTTTTATCTTTCTGCATGTGTGCTGGACTGCATTCGTGTGTGTGTGGGGAGCGTTAGTATCTCGGTTAGCACGCTGCACTACGAACCCAGTGACCCGAGTATGATTCCTGCCCACGGCCAGCACCGGTGGCGATGATCTGACCTGGTCCTGCGCCTCCCACTAGGTCGACTCGGCCTAAAAATGTCTCTGGTGTGATATGTAAACATCGGCACTAGGGAGACAAAAGACGGCCGTGCGTAATGCTGGCCTTCATAGGTGTCATTCGCTAACAGCACTTGCCCCGAAATTATGTTGAGGCTTACAGGGGGATCTTTGTCTTTTTGTGCTATAACCGCGTATGCAGCAATGCTGGAGGAGGAGCGGGAGGCGAGCACGCGGCAAGCAGATGTCTCGTCAAAGTCCATCCAGAACCTGCAGGGTGAGACGCACAGATGCACTGCTGCACGGACACACAGACACGTACAGTAATTACCCACACATACATGGACAGTCGCCTAAACACACAGACCTCTCGTCACCCTGCCACGCAGACAATCGCCCCTTACACAGTCGCATACCTGCACTGGCATATAGACACCCAGCAATTGCAGACACACAGTCACCCTGATACACGGACACAGTGAGCGAGACACAGACACACTGTCACCCTGGCACGCACAAACACTAATACCCTGGCACACAGACACACAATTGCCATAATACACAGACACAGTCACCGTGACACACACAGACATATGATCACCGTAATACACAGACAGTCACCCTAACACACACACATACATTGTCCTCCTAACACACATATAGGCTTGATTTGAAGCTTTCGTGACTGCAGGAATCCATACTCTTTGGATTGCACTTTCATGGTGCTATTCTCTCATTCCCGCTGCTGTTGTGCGCATATGCGGGCATGATACGCTTATGCGGCGACGGAAGCTCATTCATGCTAATCTCCCTCCCCAATCCCTCTCTCCCTAATCTCCCCCATTAACACAACTGAGGTGCTTGCGTCCGGGGGTGGAATTCCTTTCCAGCTCAGACCCTGCTTGCTTGCTTGCCCATCGCCACATATATAACCTCTTGTTGTAACTGCTCTCTCGCTGGTTCAGCAGTTCCACTGCTGGATTATATTTTTCCCGCCTGAGGACGACCGCTTGTGTTGCGATCGAAACGTCGTGATTTATTTTATTTTATACCTACGTGACTTTACCGAGAGAACCAAAGAGTACATATATATTCTAGATTTGAAGCTTTCGTGACTGCAAGGATTCATATTCTTAGGTTTTTTCGGTAAAGTTACCTACGTGACTTTACCGAAAAAAAACCTAAGAATATAGTACACATATAGGCACTATAACACACGGACACAACAACAACAACAACCGCCATTCGCCACTAAGTGGCGGTGACGTCACCACGACACGGACACAGTCACTGACACACAGACAGTCACCCTGCACTGACACATTGTCTTGTTTTCAGTTCCTCAACAAAGATGAAGCTGAATTGGGAATCGTCGTACACTAGCTCAGTGCCTCGTGCTGCGACCACCCAGAGGCAAGCCTGTAACAACATTAGCAGCAATGTTCTCACATGAGAGGAACGACCACCAATGTAAATCCTGTTAGGGGATTGCAGAACAGCCCAACATTTTCACCAAACCTGGCACCCGCTTTAACGTCGCCGTCTGCGTCTTAGGCAAACCACCGGGTCCCCGAGGGCGCGAGCTCGCACGTGGCATGTGTTTTCCTTGAAATGTAAAAAAAAGCGTCCAAGTTTTCATGGACGTGACAGCCAAGCTGTGAGATGAGTGTCCACAGGCCGCCGCTGTCAAGCCGTTCTGACACGCAGCACAGTGGCGTTCATACTTGTGGCATATGCTGTTAGAATTAAAGGGCAGGGTAGTTGTTTGGTTCGTCACTGAATGAAATAACGCTTCCTGTGTTGTCCTATAGGCTTCTGTAGAGATGAATGTTTTCCAAACAAAGCATCTTTGGAATCGTTTCAACCTCGCTGAATCTCTTCCAGAAGGCCTATCCTGTTTATACGCGGTGCTTGCATATCGGTTGTCCTTAAGAGTTGCTCCGCCACCTATCTCGCCAATGCCAAGGCTCGTGGAACCAGGTTGCTGGGGAATTGAGGGCCGTGCCTTTGGCTTAGTTTATTATGGAGCGGTGTTGTTTTGACCATACTTCTCAACGCCGGTCAGTGTGGGTTGGCGAAGGTACTCACCTTACAGGGCAACTCGCCGGAATCACGCACCTGGGCCTCACTCCGAACGTCAGTAACAAATCGCGGTCAAGATGCGACGATGAGAGATCGGCTCGTGTGTTTGTGAGCAGCAAGAGGGGTTCATGTAATCGCACGACTTTGAGGGATGGCAATGGCACCGGGGAGGCATTCATCCAGCGGTGGTTTGTTCATGGCTGTTAATTATGATCATGATGATTGTGATCAGCACGGTGTGTGGCCTGTTAAAGCGATGTCACAGAGCGACATGAAGTCCCAGACAGCAGCAGCAGCCACCAAACAAACAAACAAACCTGGAGCTTATTAATGTAGTTTGAGCAGCGCACAGCACAATTCTAGAAAAAAACACGACTGCCCCTCGCTGATTAACAAGCACCTCGTTGCCTATTTATTTTTTCGTAACGACTCTTTGCTGAAGTAGGGGAATTATATTCACGTTTGTGATGCCACGACCCAAACGGCCCCCCACACCAAGACCCCACAGGGGCAGGGGGGGGTGTAGGAGGGGGGCAGGGCCTGGCAAGGGACACGGATGGGTTGGGGGTGGACGGGCATCAAGGGGGGGGAGGGGTTGTCGGGTGGAGGAGTCGTGCTAACCGCCTGCGAGGTCGGTTTGGGCGAGGTGAACTAGTCAGCGTTGGATTTCGATTTAAAGCTTTCGTGACTGCAGGGATTCATCTTCTTGGTTCTTTCGGTAAAGTGACGTAGAATGGAAATAATAAAATAATAAAAATAAAACATTATAAAATAATTTTCACGACGTTTCGGCCGAAGACAGACCTGTTCTCCACCTGAGGACGGCTGCTTGCGTTGTGGCCGGAACGTCGTGAGAATTATTTTATTATGTTTAATTTTTATTATTTTATTATTTCCATTCTACGTGGCTTTACCGAATGAACCAAGAAGATAGTCAGCGTTGGGTTAGTGATTGTCGTATTCTTAGGTTTTTTCGGTAAAGTCACGTAGGTAAAAAATTTAAATTAATAAAAGTAAAATTAAAATAAAATAAAAATCACGACGTTTCGGAGGCAACACAAGTTTTCGTCTTCCGTCTTCGGAAGCTTGTGTTGCCTCTGAAACGTCGTGATTTTTATTTTATTTTTATTTTACTTTTATTAATTTAATTTTCTATCTACGTGACTTTACCGAAAAAACCTGAGAATATGAATCCTTGCAGTCACGAAAGCTTCAAATCTAGAATTAGTGATTGTCGGTTCGTGTGACCGGTGAGGAACCCCGTCGGATTACTTTTGGTCGTGTCGAGCGGTTTGGTTGGTGAGCGAGAGGCAATGTTGCCGTGAGCTTCCGTCTGTTGGCGTTGGCTACTTAGTGCTGGGCATTGCTAGTTGTGTTGCGCGTAGGTGGTTTTAAATTACCGTAATGAAGCCTTTTGCCGTCTGACCCGTGACGCCCCTGTGTGTTGCCAGTCAGGCAGGGGCAAGGCGGAGTGGGGTGTAGGGCCCTGGCGGATCAGCTCGCGCGTGCGCTCCCGTTGTGGCCTCGTAGCTACTGTGTTGTGTGGAGGGGAAGGGTGCACGGGACAGGGCGCGGGGGGGGGGGGGCTTCCCACGCCGCGATTGCCCTCGAAATCGGAATCACAACTCTAGTCGTGATTTCTGGTATCAATATGGACACCGTGGTGGTAAGATGTTGACTACCTCGCCTGGTATACAGGAGGTCGTGGGTTCGACCCCAACCCTGACGCCGGTATATTTTGAGTTTGAATGTTCTCCCTGTGGTCGCGTGGATTTTTCTCGGGGTCCTCCGATTTTCCCCTCTACAATTTAGAAACATGAGCATGCGTTTAGATTATTTGGCTGCTCTTCGTTTCAACGGGATAAGCCACTTCGTTGGGCTATCATTTGTGGCCAGGTGGATTCTGAAAAAAGAGCTATATAGCTCGGTGGGCCTTACTTGCTACAATACACGTCCCTTTACTTCAGCCTCACCTTAACTCTTTTCAACCAGTCTACACAACAAAGGCTCATTCCTAACAGCGTGCTTCAGCCGCACCGAACCTCAAAATATTAATATCCAGGGCCTACCTTGGCTCCTCCCACCCTCAACCAGTATATATACAAATACGGTTTTCTTGGAATTTCTCTCACTTGATACAGCTATCGTGCTGTGACGGTTCCACCTGAAGACGGAGGCTTGTGTTGCCTCCGAAACGTCGTGATTTTTTATTTTATCTTTATTTTACTTTTATTAATTTTAATTTTTTACCTACGTGACTTTACCGAAAAAAAACCCCTAAGAATACAAATAGTTTAGTTGAGGTTTATGTGGAACGGATTCGGAGTTTGAACCTATCCGGAATTGATGGCGTATCTCACCCTAGAAAATATATCTCCACTTAATTAAAATGTCACCATCGATGGGAATCGATTCAAATCCACACTAGATGAGAGATTTTAGTTAGGGCTTGATCCGTGCCACTGGCAGTAATCCGGATTAATAACAGCAGCAGGTCAAACGTCAAGCTCGGGGTTAGAGGGCGGGCCCCAAGGGAGGCAAAAGGAATGGAGAAGGCCCTGGCTGCTATCCTAGTGGTGCCTTCAAGGCTTGGCACTGCACAGTTTCGTTTATATTTTGATCTAAAGCTTTCGTGACTGCAGGGATTCATATTCTTGGTTCTTTCGGTAAAGTCACGTAGAAGGGAAATAATAAAATAATCTAAATATAAAACAACAAAAATTATTGTTTTATATTAATATTATTTTAAGGGAAATAATAAAATAATATAAATATAAAACAACAGCAAAATGTGTTGTATATTAATATTATTTTAAGGGAAATAATAAAAGAATATAAATATATAACAAAATTTTTGTTTTATATTTGTATTATTTTATTATTTCCCTTCTACGTGTCTTTACCGAAAGAACCAAGAATATAATAGTTATGTTTATGTTTTATATACACAATACTTTCTATGCTATTTATTTGTATCGTAATGTATTTAAGAGGCACATAATTAATGCACAATGATTAGCCAAACCGTCGAAGAAGTGCAGGGATGCTGAGTATCGTTTGCTAAATCTTGATCAGACAGAATTGTCACGTTGACCTCCGGGCTAAGTTGTAAAGTTGTAAAGTTGTTAAATTGGCGTTGCCTCTGCATGATCGCTGACTGTGCCAGGGTGGCTGGGAGACTATTGTGTATGTGTC